GTCATTTTACGCCATAGCGCCTATATTGAAATATACACAGACGATGCGAAAGATGAAAGAAGAGTAAGATTTGCTATAGAAAAAAACAAATCAAAATACATGTAAAAACTACTAAATAAATGTTCAATATATTCCGCTGAAGCTACAGTTATTTCAATGGCAACTGGCATTATAAATAGCACAGAAAATAACAAGTCTATCATACTAAGCAACTCACTGAGCGTTATCACCAAATATACAAAACATTTTTAACCTTGGCAACATCGAGACAAAAATAATTAATCAAATAGAAAACGTTAAAAAAAAAGAAAATGATATAGTATAGAGTGAGTACCACCTGATCACATCGGTATAAAAGGCAACGAAATAGATGATAAATTTGTAAAAAAAAGCAATAGAAAATACAGGAGCAAACAATATAGATGCTATAACGTACAATACTTTAGTATTGTTTGAATCCTCCTAAAATTTTCTATCGACACAATTAATAATAATATAAATAAAGATAAAAAAAAAGTTATATAGTTAAGCTTAGCTATAATTTTTCTAAACTTCTGTAAAACATCAAAAGGTTATGTCAAAGGTAAAATTTGATGGAATTACCTCAAATTTTGCACAAATTATCATTAAACATTATATAAACATAAGCAAGAAGAGGTGAAGGAAAACATTTTGCTTTTAATTCAAGACCCTTGGAGTAAAAAAAAAAAATTAAAAACATTTTATGGCTTAAATTTTGCCATGCTATGTAATTGAGCGTGTAATAAATCGTAAACACAATTTTACATAGTTATTTATTGAGTAAATAATTTAAACTCTTGTATATAAAAAAATGTTTTAAGAAAAAATAAGATCAAATAAATATATGAAAAACATTACATAAAAATAAATGAGGGATTTAAAATGAATATGTCTAGACGATAAAACAAAATCATTGCCAAAAGATTATTTTATATACAATATAAGTTAGTAGATTCTACAGTCACGACGTTATTTATTGAATAACTGAAAATGTCTCTTAACACATTTTACATTAAACTCACTAGTATAATCTTCCAAGAAGAATACTGGCGCACACAAATAATTTATTACAATTTATACTTTAATAATATAGCATAATATGCCCAGATAATTTGGATTTTGGAGAAAGTGTTTTAATGAAAAGAACATTTTACAAGTATTCCCTGTAGGGATTTTCTGCTGATTAATTTCAAATTCCAACTGTATCTATAGAAAGTACGTGCTTTTGTAATTATTTTTTAACTGTATCCACTGTTACACCCACGATGTATAACATTCAATAGAACATATTGTTTTTCATTCTGATAAAATCAACAATAGCATAAACACAAAAATATAACATTAAGTAGGTGTTACTAAACAAAATAGTGAAGTCTTTATTTTTAATTATTATTAAATACTTTTTTTAATTAATTAAAATGTCCCAGTTTTTTCTTAGAAACAAATCTATTTTTAGAGGCTTGAACAATAAATAATTAATATGTCATCCAGAAATAAATTCAATATATTTTTATAAAAAATCTATTGAAGCTAATGATAGCAATCGATTTTCAAAAATACAACAGTTTTTTTTAATAACCCCATTCAACAGCATTTATAGTTTTTATAATTTTAATTTTACTTATGTAACAAGTTTAAACTAATAAAATAGTTTTAAACAATAAATACAATCCCTTAATATGAGAATAGGTATGATAAATATTTAACAACTGAAAACAACAATAAATATTTACTTCAATCATAAACAATAAAATTATTCATTCTTGATATTATAATATTTAATTGCCACTTGTTTTTATAATGTTATTTTAAATAAATTAAGTCTCCGAAAAGCATTTTTTGAATAGCAAATTAAACTAAACTTTGGATGAAATAATTAAATAAAACAAGCTATACATACACTTATATTATATATTGAACTTTGTAGGTTATACATAACAAAATAACTTATAAGATAGTAAATAAACGAACGTTTTTTTTGTCATATTTACAATTTACATTATCATAAGAATAATATTATTTTACAGTGAAAAACCATCAACAAACACAAATTATCTTTAAGATATTGATATAAGAATTTTTTAACGACCGAGTTTTTCAAAAAGTATAACTAAATAAACTCAATTATTAACATAGCAATTACAAGTCTTAGCAACACGATAATTATTGTTAAGGGTTTAATAAAAATACTATTTATATAGCGTTTTTGTTCATAACAAATAAGTTTATTTTAACTGTATCTATATCCACATCAGAGCGATTCTAAGGCAGTGTGGGAGGACTCAAACTTTTATTAGTCATTCCCAATCGATATTTTTAGAACACATTATGGATTTTTTTTACTCATTGTGGTAATTTAGTCAGCAAATTTATCAACAACAGTTGGCAAAATTCACTCCACACCCCCTGAAAATTATCTCTAGGATCACTCCTGATCCACATTACTCTTTAAAATAAATAATAAAGCTATTTTTTTTATAGGTTTATATAAAATATATAGTTATATTTCTATTATTATCATTATATTTATTTATTCTTTTAACTGAATTTGCACTTTGACTTTTAAGATACAACCCATTCTTCACGTTTTAACTTGATTGGGGTGCAACTATTGTAAACAATTTAAAAATTACTACGCTTAAGGTCAATATTAATATTATATCGATAGCTTGTTTACTCCGCATATATTTGCACTTGTCCTGGTATAAATCATTAATAAAATACCATTTAATTACATTACATAATTTCACCTACAATTAAGCGTATGTCTAACATAAGTATAACACTTCAATCTTGGTATAGGTCAGTAATTATTTTTCATGATAAAACCATAAAAAACAACCAGAGTAATACATTTTTCTAAACATATTTTGGTAGTATAGCTAATGTTTCTTCAATTATTCCTTGGTAACTATAGTTTCTATGGATCCTATAAAGAGCTCATTATTATATACAAAAAAATTTGACAGTTTCATATTATTTATATCTTCCAAATAAAAAATAATAATATTACATATTTCTCAATACTCAATATAATAAAGTTTGTGGAATTCAGTTTACTATGTGAAATGACACACTGTTGATTTAGGATGAATGTAAAAACCTTGTAATGCGATAACCCCAAATAAGCTCAATTTCACTTATGAATCATATTCATAGCTATGTATTGAATAAAAATACCACGTTACATTGGTATAAAAGAAAGACTAACTTAAGCTGTACTAGTGTACTGTAGTAAACGGAAATACGAACCAAACATATATTATTTATTCCGTTCTTTTGGTCATTTAAGCCAGGATAAAATGCAGATAAAGTCGTCTCCCACAACCTAACTTTATAGTAAAAACAACACAATGTATATTTATAAGAGCTTAAACACGCGCTCTGGACTGAAAACGCTTCCTTCTTTAACGATCGTTGCAGCCCACTGGATCTCTTACGCCCATCGTCTGTCCATTAAACCTTCGAAATGGTCGACTTTAAAACATGATAAGTTAAAAAATAATACTTTATCTACTGAATTAAAAAGTGAAAAATCGTTTTACTTCGACTATAAAATAACACAAACATAAAGTTTGAAACCAAAGTTAACAGTTGAATCCTCTAAGTATTATTTATGAAATATTTTTATTTGAGCTCCACAGTATAAAAATAAACAAACTAAAACATTTGTTATTCGGAAATGTAAATAAAAGTAATATATCACATTGTCAAAACTAATATGATAATTTAAAAGTCATATTCATTCTAAATTTCTAGGGGCATATCTTAGGAGCATAGATGGAAATGAGGCCAATTTTTTTTTAAAATACCCTCCATAGTGTATTCCATGATCTTTTTATTCAAATTTTATACTAAATATAAAAATTAAACATTTAAAAACCCATTTAAAACATTTGTAACACAAAAATATTGTATATAAAACAAACCTCAAAATAAAAAAAACAGTTCTCTGATTATTTCAATTTTAATGTTTAAACCTTAGTTATTAACATTATATCCTAAAAAAATGTTATATGTAATTTCGAACGTACATTTTAACAATAATTCGTGTTTAATTCTTAATCGTGTCTAATGTTCAGGTCCTATCAGCCACAATTCATAGTTTTTACTGAAATGTCTTCTGGGAATATATAAATATATATACCAAAAAAATAAATATGTGTATAAAAATTACACATACAAGTGATTTATTTATTATCATTAAAATGATTTTAGAAAACATTCTGTCATGATAACTTTTATATTAAGTGTTATATAGAGTAGAGTTGATGGGAAATGAACAATAAACGAAGCAAACGGATTTGTTAAATGATAGGCCGGTCAAAAATTTGTCTCGTCACAGTAAAATTTATAATGACTACTCTGGTCTTAACTAATTCAATTTAAAATTATATAAAATATGTATACTTAAAACCTATAATTATTCAAATAGTTTTACAATTTTTTTATTATTACTAGTGGTATATTAGTTAAAAATCCTATTTTACCTATAAAATAAATTATATAATAATTTTTAATGTTCTAATAAACTTGTATGACGCATCAGTATAAACACCGAACAGAGAAATTATAATGATGAAGTGTATTGCGTGGGAGGTACATAATAGAATGTTTCCAGATAGCAAGTCTTCCCAAGCGCTACAATCGTAGATTTTTAACTATATACATGTAAAACACACATATAATGACAGACGACAATTCTCAAACGAATCCATAAATAATGTAAATTTAACGTTATCTTTATACGGCTGTACAGTTTACTTTAAACCTATGACTTGTTGATTATCGTTCACAACACATATTGGTTTTAAATGAATAATGAAATCAGTAACGATTTAATAGAAGAGTGTAGGGATATGACCCTCAAACTTAAAATAATCATTAGTTTTCGACATTTTAAGAATACTTAAACGGAAAAAAATATTTTGTTACTTAATTATGCATAAATAATTTACCTAATTATTTATTTATTTTAGAGTGTCCGCCCACCGAAGATGGATTTGAGCGATTCGCTTGTCCAACGCCAGACAAAGAGGGAAGGTTCAGGTGCATAGATGATCATGTGCTCTGTGATGGTTACATCGATTGTCCGAATGGCGACGACGAGGACAGAAAAAATTGTTTTTTCTTCAAAACAGTAAGTAAACAAATTATTGCAATGGAACTTAAATTTTTCTTTCAAATATATTATTTTAAACAAAAAATATATTCCGATGTTTGATTCCTTCGCTTTTTAATTGATGATCGATACTTTTGCCATCTCAAAAGATGCGTAACTCGATTAAGAATCCCTTTTCCAATTGTATGAACAACTCTGATTATTATCAACGTCACGTCAAGCCTTATTGGCACCAAACTGAGCTACCCTTTAGTTCACAGTTTATTTACAGAGTGGAGGCGATGTAAAGAATATAAGCCAGAATTGAGAAAAGCCAGGTACAGGATGGTTAATCTAACTCGATTAGCACAGTCTCTTTGTGTAGTCGATGTCAGAAAGGTCGAAGATTTATTATTTATATTTTGTATTGCTTCTTTTGACTTTCGAGTATTTATAACTCTACTTTGTCCACTGATATCTAACGCGTATGACTGTAATCCTCCTCATTTTCTTTCCCACATTGCAGATCCATAATTTAATAAACAATTAATAATAACTATGACACACCACTATATATGATAATTTAATAATTTTTGCTTCAAAATTGAAAGGTACAAATTTTACCATTTTTTTTTTTTTGTATCTGTTGCACGTCGTGCTTTTAGCTTCTACTGGACCAATATTAATGAATAATACGTTTAAAGAATCCAAATTCCACTTAGTCGAAGACATTACCATCATAAACTGAAAAATTATCCTAAATGATTTTTAAAAGTAAAATTGACAATAACTTTTTTTGTAAACTGTATCAACTGAAAGATAATTAGCGCTACTAAAAAAAAATTATACTTCTATTGATATAGATTATATATAAAAATCGTCTTAGACTTTTATAATCTACAATACAACTTCACTGAAATAAAACTTTGCTTTGACTAAATCCTTTTGTCTTTCAGATAAATATTTACCCAATATGTATAGCTCAAAATAAAAANTCTGATTAAATCCTTTTGTCTTTCAGATAAATATTTACCCAATATGTATAGCTCAAAATAAAAATAATTTTTGTTGACACTTAACGAGNTGCTTTGACTAAATCCTTTTGTCTTTCAGATAAATATTTACCCAATATGTATAGCTCAAAATAAAAATAATTTTTGTTGACACTTAACGAGCAAAGTCAATGCACAAGTTCAAACTAAAATCAAATAACCTACACAACATCACACAGCTTTCAGATTTCTATATTGAAACATAATGCGCATCCAATTTAATCGTAATTTTGTTTCAAGTAGAAATTCTGTTGATCTGTATAAGACAGTTTAAAATCTATATGGTAATTTTAATCACATATACATTGAACATTTCATGAGCAAATTAATACATTCAGTATTTCAAATTTATAAACAATTCAACAAAGTTTAATCGCATTTAATAGTTATAATATTCCATTTTCATCTATATTCTCTTAACAAATTACGATATACTTATTAAGCTCTACCAGTCATCACTATACACATCAAATTTCTACCCAAAGTATTTTGATATAAACTTACTTTAATTATAATTGAAAATTTTTAATGTATAATGATTAATTTTCCGAAAACTAATCAAAAAATAATACTTGATTTAATTAAACTATGAATTCGAATTTCTTAAAAAAAAAAAATTTTTTTTTCAGACTAAGGCGCACTTGGATATTCTAGCAGATGCCCTTTTACGATGGGCAAGAGGACGTTGATATGCAAAATGTAAATAACTCTGTTTTCGACATTAAAAAATTTATCTTAATGTTTTAAATCTGAAAAGTATACTTGAACACTTTGTCTTCTATATACGTTCGATTTAAAATATCTTTAATTTCGTTAAGCCAACTAATATATTCTCTTATGAATGGATTTTATAATTCAACAATCTTCAGTAGCGTATTTTGAATTGTTTTACAGGAGTGTCATTTTTTAATTTTAAATTAAAAAAACAGATTCAATTTAAAAAAAAAATCTGAAATAGTCATAAATTTGTCAATAGAAATTTTTGTTACATCACTAAGTTTTTGTAAGACACTAAAAGATACTTTTGACACGTCCTTCAATACGCTACTTCTCTACGATCTAATAAATTAAATAATTACATTTTTTAAGATTGATAAATACCGCTATAGTATAATTCAAGAAACTCGTTATTGTTTTTCTTCTTATGATAATATATCTCGTAAGTTCATATATACAAATACATATTTAATATGTTCAATAACATAATACTTCATGATAACTATCAAGTTCCTACAATAGTGTTGTTGTTACCAAGTATGTATTGTGTTGATACATTTATACAGGTTGTACATTACCATATTTTATTTATTAATTATTTATTATTTTAAATGAATATATAATTTTTTAAAACTCTCTGTGATCAAACAGATCAATAGAAAGACGCAATAAACTAATTTGTGTGTTTTTGTTTTAGTCATAATATATTAATTGGAACTTGTATATACTTTTATTATTAGTATTATTAATTATGCATTGTTATTATTTATTACTATTCTTAAGCTACATTAAGTTGACTATTTATGTACTCATATATGATATATATATTTATTTATTTATAAATAATTTATATTGTTTAACCAGTTACTGCATGTTTTTAATTGTTCATACTGAATTTTAGACACAAAACGCTAAAACCCCATTTTTTATTTACCAACTGTTAAAATATTTTAAAAATAATTATATTCTTCTGTTTTATCAATTATTGCATGTGCCTGCATATTTAATTTTATCAACCCTATTACTAAACAAAACTTATCCTAAGTAGTGTTCATTACCTTATAAGTATACTCTAATTATTATATGTACATATATCACATTAAATAAACATAAAACAACCAATAGTTTATCTATAGTCTGAAAGTGTAGAAACTGTGACGTATTATACAAATCAATGACAAAGTCTTATTTCACGATGGTACTAATTTAAAACACGGTCAATGCTTTTTGTAGCTAATATTTAGAACCAGTTTTAGCTTTCGATTTAGAAAAAAACCTCAAATAAATAATAACATAATTTTTACTTAGATGCATGGATACTTATTTAAATCCCGATTTGAATTGAGGTAGATAAAGTTGGATCTATTTTTATAGTCCAAAAACAATTAATACCTTCCTCGCTTATACAAATTAATAATAGCTATCAAATATTTGTCAGAAAAATCAAAACTATATTTAATATAGTATTTATTTAGTCAATACTATACAGTTTTATGCATTTAATAGTTAATTTTTACAAGCCTATGAAACTATTAAATATTTATTAATTTATTTGATGAAGAGGTCTTAAGATGATACACGAGTCGGACATTTAATATAATTATAATACAACGTAAAAGCTATTTTAAATAAATAAATTATCATTATCATTTAATAAAAAAATTATTTTCTAATAGTAGACACTCATTTATGTAAATAATAAATTCAGTCAATATCCCTAAGTAAACTATTTTTTAAACATAGCTACTTTGATAATAAAAGTTTTTCACTTTATCAATAGAAACCATTTCAAAATTTCAATAAAAAATACAATTTTAAAAATATATTTAAGAACATGGATAGTCTGTTATAATTAGTTAAATTCAAATATTATTAAGTCATATATTAATGAAACAAAATTAAGTAATAATTACTCATGTATTTTATAGGTACGATAAAAATATCCATGTTAACGCATTATGTTGTGTAATTATATGAAAACTGAGTTTAAGCCATTTCTAATAAGAAAGGGTGGTGCAATATTGACTTACAATATTTTATTAGAAACCATCGAAACAAAAAGCTATTAATTAAAACTTTTACTTTTTAAACATAATTAAAACTTTTAAGAATCTAGACAATAGTCCTGCAAATTAGTTGATTTAACATCTGACTATATTATTTAACTACCCCACAAATTTTTAATATTTCAACACTTAATTTTTAATTAGGTCTAGAATTTTATTGCATTTACTTAAATAACTGATTTATTATTCAATATTTACCAAGAATTGATATATTAACGAGAAATCCCTTCTTTTATCTAACATGATCATCAAAAATGATTTTTCATATAACTTAATCTCATTTTTCACTAAAAAAAAATTATATTTACCAAAAAAATGCTAAGGACTTTAATAAACAACTAATTTAGAAAACAAATATTCATTGGAAGCGTCTTTATATGAATCTATCATGTCAGCAGTGTATCCCTTAAGATCTATAAAATATACAAAACTATAATGTAATTGCAAATGAATACATAGTATATATTTATAATAGGTAACTTATACTGTTATAATTTAAATTATTTAAATTTTACAAATTAATTAACCATTACAAGATATAGTAGCTAAGGATTTATACTGCATGTGTCACCCACAATGGATAATAGTAGTTAACTAAAAACATGACACTTTTTTTATTCTCTACACAATTTAGTAGATGTTAACAATTTTTTAGCACGTTTATCCAAACATGATGTACGACTATTTTTTTAAATCACACAATAATTATTATCTTTAATGTTAAAATAGAAACATAATTTAAAATGTATAGAATCATTGCAAACATTTATTTAATATTTCTGCAGAAATATTAAAAAAAATTCTTATGAAAGAAAATAATCACAACTACTAGATATTTGAGAAAGATTATAATATAAATAACAAAAAAAACAATATTTACGCATAATAAACATTTAAAACATACACAATTATTAGCATACAAATAAATATAGAAATGTTTGGCGACTGGACACGGTTTTCATAAGATGAATACACCAATTTAAACAAGACATTTTTATTTTATGTGATTATTGGCGCGATCATAAATCACATTTGTGCAAGTTTAAAACGCCTAGTGTTATAAATAAATACCTTAATATTCCTTAGGTATATAAATATACAGATTGTTCAGTAAATAAAGAAGCAAATCTATTGGTACAAATAATAAGAACAATTGACCTGTTTCCTTACATACTGAACACCCTATATATTTATTTTAACGTCTCAAAAGTTTATACAAGAACGTCTCACGGGATTTAACAAAGAAAATAACTATTTTTAATTTTATGATTCATATAATGGGACGTGACGTAATTGAAATCGTTATCGGAATCGTCGTTAATTCTAATGATATAATTGAAGATTTGATATACTTTTAAAAAAGCATTATACGACAGCACTATTTACAGTTAGGGGAAGTATAAAAAACTACATTTTTTAATACTCTATATATTTTTTTGATATTGTTTAACTTAATTAATGTTTTTGTATGGTTATTTTTCCACTGAATTTATTTAAGCCAAATAATTAACTTATTGAAAATTATCACGTTGGACATTAACGTTATTTGACTATCCCTTAACTCTTTCACTGACCTTAGAAAAATATGATATCAACATTGATTAGAAATGAATAGTTTTATGTTAAAGAAATACGTTACCAATTTTATAAAAAATTAAATAACATTAGATTAATTATTAGCGTGCATAAACACATTAGTTGTCGTGAAAATTATTAAGATTGGATCATTAAAACATATTGAAAATGAATATACAAAAAACTTATTTTAATATTATTAGCGAATTTCATTTCCGAAAATTGCATTCTATTGACTGAGGTCCGTTAAAAACAATTCGAATAATCCTACTAAATGATATTAATAAAAAATATACCTTATCAAATAACTTACTGTTTGTTTAACATCCTGCATGCACATCAAACGACATCAACTGTCCTCATAGCACTTGTTTTTCCTAGTGTTTGAATTAGATAATATGTAATATAGAATACCGTCAATTAAAAGTTTACAACTATTAATACTGTATAAACTAGTTCTCCCATATTTTCGTCAATTATTACTTATTACTTATATTTTGAATCTAATAAGTAATAATAATTACACAATTAAATAATAATATATTAACTTAAATATATATTTTTAAATACAATGTAAAACGGTCCTAATCCATGATCAAAATGTGATTTTTACGTCCTGAATAGAGTTTTAACTAATTTTAATCTTATTGTTATCAGATTATAAGATTTTAAGTGTATATCAATGTTTTATAAAATACCATTAGTATTTTAAGTCATATTAATACTATTTTTATTGATTTACTTTTTGTTTGATTACTTTTAATATTGTGATATTTATGCCAAATAATGATTAAACGTAATAATTGTAAAAATTTTATCATCGCAATCAAAGGCGGATTTACATAAAAATGTTGGAAAAAAACAAAATGAACAACTATATCGAATAAGTGTTTACTTACAAGTTACCAAACTATAAAAATATTAATGTAAACATTATTCGCTTAGTTCTTTAAAAACATAATTTTTTAAAGAATATTTTTTGTATTTGTTTACAAAAACCATTGGGTAACTTAAAATATAAAAAAAGATACAGTATATCCGTCGATGATTTCGAATATCTTAAAACATATCAATTTACACATAAACATATCAGATTTGAAATTTGAGCTGTATTTTCTTCAAAAATAATTAATAAATTTAAATGGAGTTATAATCCATTATGTTTTAAATATAAATTAGTATATTATGTTTTATTGTATGTATTAAAAAAAAATTATATATTAATAAATATTTAAACTACTAAAATTTTTTATTTTTTAATTTTCTCAGGTTTCAATTAAAAGACATTAAATAAAGCTATATTAGTTGACACCATAATTTTCATTACTAATAAATATAATTTTAATCACCTATACAGAGAAAACTTGACATGAATTAATAATGATAATTCAATTAATTTAGTGTAACACTTTTATTGAGTTGAATAATTAATTACTTAAATTAGTATGAACAATAATCATTTTTAGCTGAAATCATCATTTTTTTGTGAATTTTTTGTTTTAGGGTATAGTTTCAACATATACTAAAATGGATTTTATTCAGATATTTCTTGAACTAAAACATGTTGATTTTTCGATTCGTTCAAGAAAGATTCGCTTTCCTGGAATAATTTCCCATTTTATATGAATTTTATAAACCTTTATCTTGATTAGCTATTATTAAGTGTTTTATTATAACATTTTGTGATTGAGCGATGTCAAGATATCTAGTAATGTTTTGTTTATATCGTCATTTGATATTTTCGTTTTCTTTTAAATAAACATCATGGTTAAGTTGCGTTTACTTGGGTTTAACGTAACGGATGAAAATATTGAATAAATTGTTAGATTATTAAAAAGTAAAATGAACTATTCGATTGTAATTTATGTTTTTCATGTATATTATATTATTTTGGTAAGAGTTTAAAATTTTTTTTGTCATACTTTTTTTAATACATGCAAAAAGAGTCATTAGGGTTAATATCCGATATATTGACTATAATTTTCCATACTTTATTATTATTAGTCCAAAATCTAAAGCCAAAAGCAATTGAGTTATTGATATATTGTTCAAAAAGTAAGGAAACAGGTCAATCGTTACAAACAATTGACCTGTTTCCTTACTTACTGATCACTCTTTACATTATACAAATTAATAACAACACAAAATATATATATATATATATTAAATTCCCTTGGAACTAGGGAAGTTTTTTTTCATTTTATATTTATAATATTTTTATTCTACTAAAACTTTCAGTACATCCAGAGTTTAGTTTATAATAACACTTTTTTTTGTTAAAAAAAATTACTAAATTAATTACACTTCCAGAATTTTAATCACATTCATAACTTTTCACATCAGTTGTATTAGAAAATCATAGTTTTTTTATATTTACTATATTAACAACAGTAAATATACAAGTGTGGATCTAGAAATTTTTTTTAAGAGGGTCATTTTACTAAATTTGATTATCAAACGTGATTTTCTTTCAAATTTAAGAATAAAATACCTAAAAAGACCCAGCACAGGGTGGTCGCGGCACAGTGGGGACGTGACATAGTTGGATCAAGTATAATGATATCTGACAGTGATTAAAATCACTGTCATAAAAAACGATTTGATGCAAATCTGTAGATAATGTTTAATTTTAAAAAAATTAATGGATGATTCCAAAAGCTACATGATCTCCTATTTCCTTATTTATATTCTGATTACAAGTTTTTATAATTCATAAGTGTAATATATAAATGTAAATATGTCGAATGAAATAATATAAATAGTACTCATTTTAAAAATTTATAATGGTCCATACATTTTTCAAAAAGTTATAGCGTTATAAAGTTAAAAATATAAAAAAAGAGTTTTTTTACAAAATCGTATTATTTTTATTAATTTTGACGTCTGTTTTCACCATGAAGACAAAAAAAAGTCCGAATTTTTTTTTTTCCATAATAAAGAATATTACATAAACTTTAATTTAAGATATATGTAAAATTTTCAGTTTCCGGAACACTTTCAAAAGTTAATTTTTTTTGAAAAGTTGTCATTTTGAATCCCCCCTGTGAACAGATGAAAGGACCAATTTATAAAAAATATGTACAAAATGATAGGTAAATACCTCATGTATCTATAAAAAAAAATGTATATCGTTTTTGTCATTTTTAAAAAAGTTATGGCAATTTTAAGTAAAAAAAATTGAAAAAATGTCGAAAATTAGCGATTTCTAATTTTGTAATTTTTTTGAAGATTTCCCCATTTACGGAGAACGAAGGAAATTTTTTCAATTTTTGAAGGTAATGTCTTCGATTAGATACGATTTGTGATCTTTTGACGTATCGTTAAAAGAAATCGGTTCGGTGAAAACCGAAAAAAAGTAATAACAGACACAAAAAGAAAAAACACATCCTAGTCAAATTATACCTTCTCAGTTTCGTATTACAGCTAAATTGTAGAAAATTATGTATTGCTATACAAAAATATTTATAGGACAGGAAAATTTAAATTTAGCACCTCCAAAAATAATATTCAAAATACATTTATGTAAATAACATTACCATTTTAATAGTAATAATAGCCAAAATTATTTATAGACATTTCATAAGTTACTTTATTTTAATTAAGAACTTAACTCATCTATGATACATTAAGATATCTTATATTTTAACAACACTCAATCAATCCTAAAAATAAAAAAACTATTTTAAATTTTAAGCTTAATAATTAATTACTTAAAGAGATATATACAAATGGTTGATAGTTTTAAATCATAACAGTGAACAAGCTATAGTTTTAAGAAAATGAACTGCAAACAATTAATATTATATAAAGTAACTTAGGTATAATACGCATATAAAGAGTTTAGATAAGAAGAATAACAACAACTATAATACTATTTTTCAAAATATATTAATAACTATAAAGTTAAAAAAATACTTGAATAGTTAAAAATTGTATCATTTAATTTTTTAGTAATTAGTCTTAATCTAATTTATACCACCTCGATGTATTCAATAACTATAACTTTTGCAAGAATATGTAGTGGTAAAATAATGTGTATTAATACAAAAATTATGAAGTATAAATATTTTTCTATAAAGCTAAATGTCAAATATATAAGAATTGTATACAAAAACAGATTTTAATCAACAAATAGTTAAATAATTACTATAGGATAAACTATAAGCTACAAGAATTTTATAATTATTCTTTATTTTTTAACACCAACGTCTCTAAGTGTTATTTATTTGTACAAGATGCACTTAAAAGACTTTCAAAATTATTATCATTACAAGTTGAACAAATTAAATTTATTATACAGTTTGTTGAAAAATAAAATGTTAAAATAACTGATAATTTAATAACCAAACTTTTGTTTCTTTAGCCTTCTTTTAGATTTTTGTAATTCACCATCTGAAACATCTGAATTTTCTGATCCAGAAACATCAAGTGCTATCTCACTTGATTCCATGGCATAATTTCCTGTAGCTTTAGCTCTTTCCAATGTTCTTATTTGTGACTCTAAAATATTGTTTTGTCTTTTAAGATCATCAATATCTTGTTGATGAGATACATTTTTACGCCTCATAAACTGTATGTAATCTGCAGCTTTTTTCAATATTTGAGCCCTACTAGCTACTTTTTCACCTTGTAAAGAAGGGACTGAATCTCTGAGACTGGTGAAACTGTCTTTGATATGATCACGGCGTTTCCTTTCCAATGCATTATGGTGTGCTCTTTTTTCAGCAGTTTCCAGCTCAATATCTCTATCATCATCACTCATATTGTTAAAATTGTCTTAATTAGTAGATTTAATTGAAAAATATCTAACAAAACAAAAAAAAGTTACGTGTTACTAACAAGTATATACTACTTTGAAATTGAGAATTATTTAATTTATTCAATTTTTATAGAGTTAATAGACTCATAGATAGTAGACATAAGCAAATTAATGAATATTAATAAATTCATCAAATTAACATATTTCATTTTGAAACATTTTAAGATTTCATTAGAATAATTAATTTTTGGTAAATAATATTTAATTGAGTCAAAATAAAAATTCAATAGTTTCATTTTCATAGATAAAATATAAAATAAATTTACTCACTTATTATATAATAATAATCCACTTTGTCAGAATAGGGAATATGACACTTTTAAAATTAACCACAAATAGAAATATTTTAATTAGTAGTTGTTTTTAAGTTCAACGATAATATAAACTCAATTATCATAAAAATACTATAATAATTTATTTGTAATCATCAAAAATGCTATAAATTTATGAACAACAAAAAGGATATTATCATTATTAAATATCATATGTTTTTCGTATACAACGTGATTTTGTTTATATTGTTGGCTACGCTGAATTTTTTTTCGGTCGTGGTTAACACTGAGTACCTCTCGAAAATACAAGATTAACACTGAATGTGACAATACCCATTTTTAATATAACGGTCGTTTTGTTTAGTTTGAATTACCAATAGTAATTTTATTGTTGTGACATATATGTAGATGTTTAAAATGTTATTAACTTAAATCAGTGTTGAAGACTAGATATTTTATAATACCTTGTGTAAGTAAGTGTAATATTACTGATATTTTCTTACTACAGAACATAACTCTAAGTATAGTTTTCCAATATTTTTTAAATATTTCAATTAATTACTATTTCTTATTATTTTATTTACAAACTATTATTTAATAACGTAGTTCTTATTATAGTCATTAAATTAAAATATAATTTAATTGAATTATTAAATTTCATTATAATTTGAATTTAATGTATCAGTTTGCATGAAAAATCATAATGAAAAGGGGAATTAATGGACAATCAGCTAAGAAACCAAAAAAACCCAGATCTGAAGATGACATTAGAGATCCAATACAAGTATTTTGTCGTGTGCGTCCTGCTCCAACAACAATTGAAAGTCCATGTATTAAAGTTGTGTCCGACACTGATCTACAAATTCATTGTTTACCTGATGACAGAGGAATATCTAGAGAGGGCCAATTTAGTTATAAAAAAATATTTACTGAATATGAAACCCAAGATGTAGTTTTCCAAGAGTTAGCACTACCCCTTATTGAGCAACTATTAATGGGAAAAAGCAGTTTACTATTTGCCTATGGTATATCTGGCAGCGGTAAATCATACACAATGACTGGAAATCAAGAAGATGGTGGTATTGTGGGTCGTTGTTTTGATGTTATTTTTAATTCTATTCAAGATTATCAAGCAAGGAGATTCACTTTTAAACCTGATAAGTTGAATAGTTATGATGTTTTAAGTATAGAAGATGCTATGCTATTCAAAGCTGAAGATTTTAAAAATAATGTTAAGTTTCCCAAAACTCCAAAAAAGTATGTTATTGAAATAACTGTTTTACTAAATAGATTAAATTAAATGTATTGTAATTATTTTAATTTTTTGATGTAGAAAAGATGGAGAATCTGATAGAGTATCTTTTGACTACAAAATTGTTGATATTGAACAAGATGTTGCATATTCTGTATTTATAAGTTATGTAGAAATATATCATAATTATGTATATGATCTCTTAGAAAATGTATCTGATGGGGAAATTAGACGGTAAAATTAATCTATTTTAGTTGTAGAAATTTACCTGAACATATTGATTTCATATTTTTAGAAATAGTAAAATTATTCGAGAAGATTCAAATGGAAATATGTATGTTCACGGTGTCAATGAACAAGAAGTAAATAGTGCTGATGAAGCCTTTGATTGGTTAAGAAAAGGTCAATTACGTAAACGAACAGCACCTACTTTTTTGAATATAGATTCTAGTAGAAGTCATACTGTATTTACACTACGTTTAGTTCAAGTAAGATATCGAAATAATTTTAGAAAATGAATTATTGTTTAATAACATCAGATATATTATTTTAGGCACCTCTTGATGCAGATGGAGTAAATGTAATTCAAGATAAAAAATTCACTGTAGTAAGTCAATTATCATTAGTTGATTTAGCTGGGAGTGAGAGAGCTGGAAAAGCTAAAACTACAGGACAAAGATTACAAGAAGCAGGTTTGCAATTTAAATTTATTTTCTAATTATTCAATTATGTTGTTTTAATAATATTTTATTCAGGTGAAATAAACAAATCATTGTCAAATCTTAAACAATGTCTTAAAATATTATATGAAAATCAATCCTCAAGTAACTTACGTAGTATAGCAGAAAAAATTCCATATAGAACATCTCGACTTACACACTTATTTAAAAGTTTTTTTGAAGGGTCTGGTTCTATAAGAATGTTAATTTGTGTTAATCCAATGACTGAATATGCTGAACTTTTGGTAAATTTTATTTTATTTTATTTTTGAAGTGAAACATCTTTACAATGAGTCCAAAAAATATATATATTATTGCGCATCATGTTCAGCTGTAACATTTTGCCATCATGGACAGATTTTATTGTTCTATTAGGTATACAGTTAAAGTTTTATTATTTGATGAACATATAAGTTTAATTAAATAAAACTATGCACGTCACATGGACTTAAAAAAAATTAATAATATTGTCAAAAATCAACAGATTTTAGGCTTTGGAATGTCGCTGGGCAGACCTGGTAAAAATTTAAGGTTTTAAATCAAAAAACCCTAGTGACAATGAGCATTTTTGATAAAAAAATTTTCCCTGTTCCTAAATAATTTTCCTAAAATAATTACACCTAGCTCTTTCATTATAAAAAAATTGGATATTATTAAGTAATTTATTGAGCATAAACTAATTTTTTAATCTTTGTTTTTATATCTAAGATTTAAAGAAAAATAAATATGTGTATATACTTTTAGTAATAATTATTAATAGTAAGTAATAAATTTTATTTCACTATAATTTAGTACTGTTTTTTTTCGAAAATTAAAATAATATTATTTAAATGCATTAAATAATTTCATTTCAAATAATTTTGATTGTGCATAAAAAAGTTTAAAAAAATACATTAGAAGCAATTTTCACACAATATCTTCATAATGTCTGATCAAAAACTTATATTAGTTATTTCAGTTATCATATGGCCATTATATCTTTCATGACAATAGAGTTAGAATAATTAATAATAAATTAAATTAATTTCAATTGAAAATAAAATTTTTAGATGTATGTTTTTATTTTATTCCAATGTAAACCTAATATTTTATCAGTTGAATGACTCTGAAAGAAGTTTCTATTCTTTTGCATATATTCATTATTATTATTATTATTTTTTAATTTCACACATTTTATATAACTATAATTTTATTAACAGCCTGTTTTACAATTTGGAGAAATGTCTGGTAGTGTTCAAGTTAAAAGAATGACACCTTTAAGAATGGATTTGGGTTTGACACCAGGTAGAAGAAAAATGATTGATGTAAGCATATATTAAATATTTTATGTTTTAAAAAAAGAACTTCTGTTGTTATCAAGTACCTTAAAGTTCTAATTTAAAATAATAGTTTTGAAGAATTTAGAAAATGTAATAAAATATCACCTGCCTATCCTACTGTGGGATTTTCTTGTTTTATAACACTTCATTTGGAAATTTGTTTTACATTCTATAATTTAAATTATTTAAATGTATTAAATTTTTGAAGAATTATAAAACATTGAGATCCTACAAAAGTACTTATTTTTAATTAAAATTTAAGTCATTGCAGTATTAGTAAATAAATAATTTTGATATCTTTTAGGTGCAAACAATAAATCGTATTCCATGTGTTTTAGAAGAGGATTTCAAAGATCCAAATGATAATAAAAATTGCAATGAAATAAGAGATAAATATTTTCCCAAGTACAACTATTTTAAACACTATTTTACATTTTCATTGAATTTATTACTTTTTTTTTTTCAGTTTTTTAGATCTTGGGCCTCCATTACCTGAATTAAAATTTGAAGATTTATTAGTTAAAGATAAGCGAGAGCAAATGTTAATTGCTCTAGAGCAAAGAATCAAGAAAAAAGATGAATTAAGAGAAATTTTAATTAATCAAAGTATAATTTTAGTATTTTGAATTATTTATTTTAACTTATAAATTAATATTATTTTAGGCAATGATATAAGGTCTAATATAGTGCTTTTAGAAAGTAATTATAAAAATGCTGCTCAAGAAATAAGTTCTCTTCAAATACTTCGTGATCAAGATAAAAATAAAGTATGCTGCTTTTAAATTCTATGCATTAAATTTAGTATATTTTACTATTAATTTCTAAAATTTAGATAAAACAATATCAAAATAAGGCATTTTTACTAGAAAATGAGATGGCTTCATTTAAAAGAAAATTTGAATTAATGGAAAGCGAAAACAAAAGATTGAAAGCTGATGTAAGTGTTACAAAATATAGTCGTCACCATTAGAAAATAAAAATATAACTTTTAATTTGATAAATATAAAATGAATGTGATTTATTAAAATATGAACCTAATGACCTAGATTACAAATTTTGATTTTATTTTTCAAACATATTTTACTTTAATTTCAGTTAACCTGTATGAGCATAGCTTAAGTGTGCTGAAAAAACTTATAACATAAAAATAAAATTCTTAAAATAATATTTTAGTTAATTGACCCAAATAGTTGGGATTAAGGCAAGGAAAGAGAATGAGAATAAATTAGTAAATTATAAATTATTAAAATTAGTAAATTTTGACATTTTTTTCACTAAAATTGATTTAAATTTTTGAAAAATGAATGTATCAAAATAATTTTTATTTATATAGAAGTCTTAGGTATTTTCCTTTCATTTGATATAATTTTTTTGAAAATCTATCCCTTTATCTGCTTACAGGGGGGATACAAAATAGCAACTTTTTTACAAAAGTAAATTTTTTCTACATAACTTTTAAAAATGTTCAGGAAATACTGCATCCTTTAAAGATATGTTAAATTAAAGCTTATGTTACATACTATATGTAAAAAAAATAAAACATTTTCCCGACAACTTATCTTCTATGTGCAAATGGCAGTCTAAGTTGAATAAAATATAGGAGTTAATTTTGCTTTTGGAATAATCCACCAATTTATTAAAATTAAACACTATCTACATATTTGCATCAAATCGTTTCTTATGATAGTAATTTTAATCACTGTTAGATATTTTAATTTACAAATAAATAATGAAATTAATTTATCGTAAAAGTTTATGTGAATGAATAATTTTAATTTTAGTTAAATGCTAAAGATAATATGCTTAACCAAGTATCAGTTGACAAAGATTTGCTTAAACAAAAATACAATACCAAAATTATCAAAAAACAAGAACAACTATCAAAAGACTTTAAAGATAAATGGAGAGTTCAAGAAAATGAGTTTGAAGTTAGTGTACATTTAAAATTTTTAACTAAAAAAATTATTAATTTGGTACACTCTTAGGTAAATTTTTTTTATTAAGAAACATGAAAAATTTTGAATTATTATTTACAATTATTTATAAAAAAAAAATTAGTTTATCATTTTAAGAGTTATAATAGTAATTAAAAACTAATACTGTATTTTCTTCAGGCTAAATTACAAGAAAAAAAAAGAAAATTGAGACATATTAAAAATATTGCTGACAGTGTAGAGAGTATTCCAAGACTCTCCAGTAGACATACAATCAAACGCACATTATCTGATGAAAGTTTAAGTAAACCAGATACAGCTGTCAACAAACCCACTGAAAATACACCCAGTAAAGTAATATTAAAAATTTGTGCTTCTGAATTCATTTTTTATGACATTTTTTGTGACATTTATTGACAATTTTTCATTCAATTATAGCCATCTCAAGCAACTTTGCGATATCTTCGATCTAGAAGATCAAAGTCTTGTGATCCTCAAGAACGTTGGATTGAACATAAACCTCCTGTACCTATTCCATTACAAACTGTTATGCAGCCCACAATGAAAAAAAGGAAATCAGTTACAAAGTTGACAGATGCTAAAACAGTATCTAAAACTGATGCATCCAAATATTGCTTATTAACTCAAGAACAAGATGAAAATGGAATTCCAGAAGCGAAATTATACAAGGTTAGTTAAATAATTTTTTACAATCAGATAATATCAAATGAACTAAATGATATATTTTTAAAGGGTGATATAATACAAACTACAGGAGGAGGAGCTCAAGTAGTTTTTAACGATGTTGAAACATTAAAACAAGATTCTCCGTTAGGTGGATCACCTGTCAAAAATCGCATACAAGCATATAATGAAGAAATTAAAGCTCATGCTTCTGATGATCTTCAGTCAAGATGTTATGGTATACATGGTTATACACCAGTGTCAAGGAAATAAATTATAAAATTAATGATTAAGATTTATGTTATTTGACTTGTTGATTTTTTAATCATTCATAGACCAACATTAATTTTTAACCCTAAAATTATATTTGTGTAACTGTAAGTTTTACTAATATCAAGATTTTATAAAACTAGCAATTAAGAAATAATAATACCAAATCTTACAATTAATTCAGTTTATCAATTTTATTGTTTTGTGATATACATTTTACTGTACATTTATACCTTACCATGTTTTTTTTATAATTATATAGATTTTTCAATACATTAATAATTAAATAAATTCTTATCATTATTTCTTTTAATTGCTAACAAATTACATATTTTTATTACAATTAACTAATATGGTTTATTTATTCATTTTATTTAGGTTGATTTACCTTATACAGAGTGGAACATATTAAACTGACAACTTTTAAACTTTGTATATAGTTATAAATGTTTTACATTCTTAGACTACAATATATGCATGTTTTTTTATATTTATTATTAATGGCCAATAAAATTTAAAAAAAAAAATGTTTTTCTTGCGAAAAATTTCTATTGGTCCTAATAAAAAGTTTGAGATAATTAAATATTGAGTTACAAGCATTTTAATGTATAGTGTAGGTATGAGGCATAGGTGGAAAATGCATTATAAATTTATACCAGTACAAGCTGTACCCACTCACGCTGAATACTCAGTCACTAAGTTCTTATCTATCCAAAAGTGTGGACCCATCAAATTTTTCTCTAAGAAAAACTAAAAAATGGCAATTTTATATATTGTTAAATATAAATAATCAAAAATATGCTTTTAACGTAGATTTAAAAATGCAAGGTGTTAAAAAAAAAATTACAGGGAAATTAAAATTTGATCAGAAATTATAAGAATTGTCAGTTAAATCTGTTTCATTCTGTATAGTCTTGGTTGAATTAATTATTTTATCCATTGATTTAATGAAATTATATTGAATTATAATTGTTGCTACAATAACTTAGATTTGTACACTTTGACTTAATATTAATTTATGTTCATAACTTCAATGTAAAAATAATTATAATAGGTATTTTCTTTTGTTATCATAATGAAAACTTATGACTAATTTTTCTTGAATCACAGTTAACTAAAAATTCCGCGTTTTTCATTAACTTTTAAATATTTTTTGCTTAAAATTTAGTTATAAAATAAATATTTAAAAGGCCTCTAAGATTAATGCATTAAAATTCTGAAATGTATGAAAAAAATTATAAATTAATTTAAACTTCAACAGTTTTTAGGATTTTGTGAAAATCATGTACATAAATATTTCAAAACATTTTTCCTAGAAATGTCTGTGTGAGATACAAGAATGAATCTTTTGAAATTTTTATATTAATTTAAATTTCTGGTACACTTTTATTGAAGGAAAAATTAAAACGAATAAACCTATCTCAAGCTCATATATTGTTATTTTATTATAATAACTAGTAATATAATGATAGTTATACATAATATTCACACATTATTACAGAAATAATTACAATAATATTAATTAAAAATTAAATGTTACAAATAGTGCATATTTGTATAATACAACATCAACTTCCTTTTGATTATATTATCCCTAAATTTTTAATGAGCTATTACAATAATTCAAAATACAGTGAGTTATTTTTCAGTAAAATGAAACTTGACTACTAGACTTTTAGTTTATCTAAAATACAATTTTTTTAATGAAATCTTTAATTTAGTCAATAAAAAAAAAATGACAAAATAATTATGACATTATAATAGCAACCAATAAATGAATTTTATTGTTTGAATTAATTTTAATTTAATAATAAACTAAATTTTAGTTTTAATCAGATTATTATTGGTCCCTATTACAATAAAAAAAAAACATTGGCAAAAAATTGTTGAGCTCAAATACATGTATAATCAAGTTACTTAAAAAAAATATATGCAAATGATGATAAATAATTTTTATTTTATAATACTCTTAAAAGACTTATCACCCAAAGTCAATATAATTTACTAAAAAAAAAAAAATTATTAATTTTTAATGTATATATATACATCATTTATTATATTTAAATATCAGGTACAATGAAACAAAGGAAAACAAAATTATCTACTCTCTCTTATTATTAATAATGTACAATTTACTATGTTTATAAATATATATAGAATACTTAAATATAAAGATATAATAGTGCATAATATTGCAACAAACCCATAAAAACAATAATAATTAAATACACAGTACTGTCAAGTGTAAAGCATGTGTAAAATAGAAATTTGTTAGCAATTGTTAACCCAATTATAGGTAAAAAAAAAAACAATTCAACAATTGAAATATAACATTATACTCTACATTTTTACAGTTTCATATAGATATATTCAATATGAGTAGTTATTAAAAATTAAATTATCTATTAATTGAAATTTTATTATACAGTTGTACAATATAAAACACATTAAGAACCATTTAAAAGGAATTCTTGATAATTACATTTAGCAACACATAGTAACAAGAAATTTTAGAGATATTTTAATTAAATTTATAATACTTAGAATAATAGTTTTAAAAAGATTAAAATAAATTATATGACATTTTTATAATTGTACCACATAAAAATAATATCCAAAAGTTTATCAAAATGAGCTAAAAAAAATCTATAAAATTGCAAAGGATTCATTTTTATAGTCAAACAATTATTAACTCATAAAATAAAATAATAAACAAAATTTAGTTATATTTTTTATATTTGAGAAAACAATGTTGCTGTTTTTATGCAACATTCATTTTAGTTTTAAAAATATCCCCTAAATACAATGAAATAAAAATTTATAATAACTATTTTAAACTGAATGTTGATTAAATAAAATAAAATAAACAAAAGGACTGTATATCAAAAATAAGAATATAAGTGTTTATTGAAAACTATCATATCATAGAGTGTTGCTTAATTTTCAATAGATGATCTATTACAAGCACCATTTAATGTAATTTTGATAAAATTCAAATAAAATGTTTAGGAGGAGGTGGTGTTTTATAAGGTGATTGATTGGGTGAACTATCACCTAAATCTAAACGTAACTCAGTATCAGGCCTAACAGTTGGACATATATTTAATTGATCTAAAGAAAGAGAAACAGCTGCAACATCTGGCATTATTATCTGCTCATCTTTAACTTCAAAATCACCACCATTGAACTAAAAATAATAATAGTAATAAGTATTCCAAGACTTTCATAATTTATTATTAGTAAAATTACTTACTCTAGAATTAGTATAGCGTAAAGAAGAAATTGTATCATTTACAACAAATGATCTCTGTGGTTTCCTTGATTTTTGTTGATTATATACTGAGGGAAGTGTACTAGTTGCTATCCCTTTTCGTTTTTCTTTTCTTGCTCGCGTACTACGAGATTTTGTGCCATCTTTAGGTTTTTCATCAGAACCACCACCACCACCACAATAACAAACGGAACTTGCTGCTTTCTAAAATAAAAATATACATATATTTCACACTATTGTTATTAAATGAAAACTATGTCATAATTACTTCCAAAAGATATGCAACAGGATCAGGTAAATTGAATTCACGCACAACTCTTAATCTTATTTGATGATTGATTTCTTGGCGACTAGATAATGGTAGTGATAAGGCACGTTGGCAACCTGGAGCAGATCTTAATTTTTGATCCCTTTTGATCATAGCATTCATTGTTGATGTATCCGGTGCTAAAATAAATTATATTAATAAGAAAATCAATAAAATTTACATTTTTTATTTTAATTAGTCATACTAGGAATTGAAGCTGTTAAAACATCTAGTGATGAGAGACCATAAGTTGATGGTGCTGACTTATCTTCAATCATATATAAAGTGTCAGGTATTCCATCTGGCATATATCTTGTTCTACGTACAAGTTCTTCGTCTTCTCTTAACATTTGATCTTCAAATAATGCCTACACATCATAGATATAATAATAATTATAAATATTATTTTTTGTATATTTTTATTTAATAGGTTATTAAAAACATACTTTAATTTCATCATAATATGGTACAAAAAATCTAGGTCTAACATAAAGTCCTGAAGGATGTCTTATCCAAGCATTAATTCGTGACATTTGGTGGGATGTCACTAGTGAATCATTGCCAATCATATGACTTGGTGGTGTGCTTACTAAACCACGCCTTATAGCTTGAACTAGTGTATCATGTTCTCTCGGTATCACATGATCCATACGTACCAAAGGTAATAAATCAGATAAAATTTCACGAAGTTCAACATCACTCAAATCTCGTTTTTTAACACCTTTACGACTCACTGAATGAGTTGTTTGACTAACTAAATTTGGTTCTAAAATCATAAAAACAAATTTTAATAATAAAAAAATTAATTTAAACCTTTTGATTAAATATTTAAAAAACCTCTATCTTCCATTCGTCGTATAAGTTCATGTTCACCCCATTTCAAAACAGCTTGTAAAACTTCAAGCTCACTTGATTGTAAAAAATTACTCTTCAAACAATCAATTAAATGTGATTTATCAAGCTGATAAAGAACAGTACTATTAGCCACTTGAGAAAACTCTTCCCTTAGAAAATGTTTAGCTTGGCGATGAACCCAGGAAGAACCATGAGGCAAATTTCCCCACCTAAATATTATTTTTCAAAAATAATTTAATTCAATATTACAAATGAAATACAACATATAAATAATATGAAACAATCATTACCTAAGTACTCCTGGAAGGGATTCTAAGGTCAACCATTCTAAAATAAGGTCTTCACAACCTTGTGATACAATTTCTAATTCTAAAAATCTGCCTATTTGGTATAATTCCATTGCTTCATCTAATGGACTTGGCCTAACACGGCCAGTATTGGTTAAAGCTTCAACCTAATAGTTAAAAAATTAATAAACAATATTATTTTTAAAATAATTATTACATTACTTCACTCAAACTGCCAGCAGAAGATCCACTGCCAGAACCTCTTAATATTAGTGACAAATCAACAGTATCCAAATAAATTGCATGTAATAATACTCTAGCATATCTTTTGGGAATCACTGATTCATCCAATACAATTCTATTACAAACAATTTTTTTTTTATCATTATTGTAATAAATAAGAAAAAACTTAATTTTTTATATTATAAAAATACCTTGTAGGAATGTGCAACGCTCTTTCAGTATGTTCTTCGCCAGATTTAGTTCTTCGTTGTATGAGATTTCTGAAGAATGGAGATCTTGCACTTAATATAGACTTATGGCATGGCAACTCTAATTTTGGCTGAAAGCCATATTCAGATCCAGTAGACTCTGGTCTACGATCTGAATAACCTTCTGGTATAAACACAAGAGCAGCATCAGCATAATCTCCAGTTTCTAATAAATACCTCAAATCACTTTCTAAAACATTAGGTGTTCCCAGTTCATCTCCAAGTCTTCTTAACAAAGCTAAATCTATATCTCCATCTCTTGGAACTATATCCCCAGTATATAAAAATCGTAGTAAAGCTGAAAACATTTCTACATTAACTCCAGGAGTTCTTAAATCTAAACATATTTTGGTTCCATAGCCTGGGCATCCCATAAGTAAATCACGGAAGTATGGGCATCTAGCAGATAATATTGCCCTGTGTACAGGAAAACAAACACCTCGAAAAATTAGATCAACATCAGTACAATATTTATGATCATATAATGTAGATAAATCTTGTTTAAATGTGGCAGCTGGAGGACGAGCCAATTCAGCTTGCACTGATAAATCTTTTAAAGCAGCCAAAGCTTCATATTCTTCTAGAAGAGCCGTTACTTCAGCTGGAGACCAGTCTGATATTAGTTCTCTAATAACTCTATCATGATTACAAACTTTAGAATAGCGGCGGCGTTTAATCAGTTTTTTACGCAAAGTAGCAAAACCCGACATGCGCATTTTCCGTCTCTCCCTAAAACAAAGTTAATTATTTAGTTTAGTTTAAAGATAATTAAGTAACTAACAAAGAAGTTTTGAAAAATTACTTTATCATCACTCCTGGATAATTTTGAACTTCCAAATTAGGATATTCATTTGAAGAAACTCCAGCACCCATACTGGCTTCTTGGAAAATCCTTTTCGTCATCCCATCATATGATCAGAAGCATGATTATATTGGTAAACATATGTTTGTCACATAGCAGTACTATCAAATAAAAAATTAAGAAAACTGATCAGTTAAATATTACAAAAATAATTATTTGTTATTGATTTATTTGACAATAACCAAAAAAACTTGCAAACATTTATACAAAACTAATGTCATATTATTAACATCATAGTTTTTATTTTATACATTCTTATTTTAAAATTCTTATGATTAAAAACTTTGTATAATTAACAAATACCTAAAAATAACTTTTAAATTAAATTTATTTAACATAATCACTCTTGTTAACTACTGAAATATAAAATGTTAATATTGATTAAAACTGGGTCAACTTAACTTTTGAATTGTTTCAAAGTAAAATAAAAATATTTAAATATTAAATCATAAAAATCATTGAATATTTACTAATGAAAGTTTAAGCAATATTTATATTACTCAGAATCAATAATTCTATAAATTAATAATTAAATAAATAAAAATATATAAATTTTATCACATAATATTACTTACTATTCACATGGTGAAGAGATTTTTATCTCCTACATTCCCAATAACTACCAGAATTTTCGTAGAGATTTGTAACTAAATTATATATTATATAATGTTTAACGATGTTAGTACAATAATATTAATTGGGAACTAAAGAATTGCAAATTTGACTTGACAGAGAATATTCATACATATACAATATTGATAAAAAAATTCATCAACACGCCTACAAAAACTAATACAACGTCCATGGAATTTGATTAGTTTAAAAATAAATATATGAATTTTGGTGAATACATGTTTTCAACAAAAATTTCTTTCCTATCCAATACACATTTCGTTTAATTATTATTATTAATTATGATATTTTAAATATTTCTTCGTCTTTTCAAAATTTCATTTTAATTCTATTTTCTATTGTTATTTATTTAAATAGTCTTTGGAAGTGTTATATATTCTTAAATGATAACAGCGCCAAATACCTAAATAACTATCAGGATAGAACTTGTATGTAATGTGAATTACCCACTTAGCTTGTGTCATTAGTCTAATTGGCTTCAAATATTTATTAACTCATTTTATTAGCATTCATTAATCTACACACTAATAGATTCCTAAAAATTTACCATACGATGTTCTTATGTATGTAAGTTAATATATAATGTGTAACATGTAATATGCTTTTGTTAATTTTACCGTAAAACTATCAGTTTTAATAATAATGAAAATATAATATAAATTATGATTTGGAGTGGTAGTCAAAGAATGTCCCTAACTTTAAAAAATATTCACAGCAATCTATTTTAATCAATATTATTTAATTAAATTGATCGAATTTTAATAAGTGCACCCATAAAAAAGCAATAGTTTTAACTGTTATTGTATTAATTACCGCATTTTCATATTACGGGATGATATAATCTCAATATTTTGTTATGGGAAAGATAGGAAATTTTCTCTAGATTACAAAATTTTAATTACTAACGATATTACATTTGACTGTTTTTTTTAGTTTTGATTAAAAAAATTTTAAATAATTGCTTGAATATCCACTTACATTTAATGTAAGTGAATACTATGCCCGGGAGAAACCTCCATAAGTTCTTCATTAAAATAAATTATAGAAAACAATTTAAGGATAATTAAGCGATATTATTCTTTCCATTCATAAATGAAATTTTATTTCATCAAGATACCAATAAAAATTGGTAGGAGCTTTGCAACATAATATTAATTTTTAATCATTAAAATTTTTTGTTAGGAAGAGTTTTGTATACTTTTCTTTAATATTTTGTAAGGGTAATAGCTCCCCTCCTTTATTAATACTTAATAGATACACGGGATATTCAATAAGATAGAAAAGAATTTCCATTGACATATCAACTATAAAAATTTACCCGATCCTTACTTATTAAACACTCTTTATTTTATTTTCCTTAGTGAAATATGTGGACAGATTACTTGACACATTTTCAAAGGATTGACGTAAATTGTGTCATTTGTGTTAATAATTCAGTTTTACCGAAACCTGTCATAAGCTAATGAATCCTTTTATTAGTCAACCATACATATATACTATTTGTTAATTGAATTATATCAAAAAGATTAAACAATCGAATACCTTCAGCTTATAAATAACTTAAACAATGAATACAAAACGACTGCGAGGGTGTTCAAGGTGGCTAAGGACACTATGAATAAGAAAAATTATGCATCTAACTAGGTATATTCTTGGACATTTTTTCATTATTTTATTAAAAAAAATTATTAATTTTGATGATCTTTTTTTTTTTATTAAAAATCTTTCTGAGAGTATCACTTTTAAAAGAGTTTATTTAGGGGTTCCAAACCCCTGATTGAACAGCTGTATGACTGTGTAATTTCAATAATTTTTATGTTTCTAAACCATGTTATAGAAATACAATAATGTTTTGTTCGTGTTTTAATCCATGAATTTGTAAAAATAATTTAGTGTATTACTTAGAGACAATGCTCAAATATTAGATCTGCATTCGGTCCATTGCTAGTGAAATGACCTTGCTAAATCGTAGAGTATCTGAGGATAAATTTTGTTACCATCGAGCGGCGTTCCTTGTGTTTTGTTTCGGAGTGTTTCGTGTTCGTGTTGGGCGGCGGCCACTGTCGGTAAGGTTCGGTACAGTAAAGCCGACAGCAACGCACGAAAACACCCGAGTCCGGTTCGTACTTAACCCACCTCTAATGCCTCTCAGCGTAATATTCTCAGTTGCTATCTTAGCTTAATTGGGAGTGAACGTTATGCACACCTGATCTCTGTGTGATTTACACCGGTATCATAATAACATTATCACCTGTGAAGTTCCATTATACCACAGAACTTTTTGTCTCTCTTAAACGGTCATATTATTTAAAATAAAGTAACAATAATGGCAAACAATAGAGCAGCCAAGTCCGGTTTCGCTGCCGAAGCCCAACGCAAGGTGAGTGTGCACTTAAAATATTTATTATGTCGTGTGTACGAGACGTGTTTTTTTGTTGTATTCAACCCCGCGCATATGGCAGTCAAAGTAAACTACATGTTGCAACAGGTTGTCTCCGAGTAAACATCGAATTCGCAGTAACGGATAACTCATTAAAATAGTCCGCCCGAAAATACTTGATACATTTGGAAACGTGTTGGGTTTTTGTTGAACGTTTGCTTAGTAATTACTATTTGTTTGACTGCGTACACTTGTTGTGCCATATTTGCGAATAATTTCATCACGCCAAACCCTACAGTCCGGCCCATTATTTTATTACCGTATCAAGGTCGCTAAGGTATTCTTATTTCGGGGAAGTCGAATTTTATACATCGTGTACAACAATAAAACTCACCAGTTGGTCCGGGTATGACGAATTCGTGTTTCCGAACTGTTCCAAGGCTCCGTGATCGTCTTTACTCCTATTGCAACGGCGGCTATTAAAATATTAGGCGAAACGTGTAGCCCGTTGGGGTTTCGTCGAGTAAAAATTAGATAAAACGAATTGTGTAGGTCAAACGATGATAGTGGAGAGACAGACGCATTTTTAATAGCTTTTGCAATAGACGATTTCGATTATGTTTGACCTATTTTTTAACAATAATGAAAAACACGAGTGTCGTGTGATTGTAACTGGTAACCGATAACGATTGTATAATAATCTCTGCAGTGGTGTAATACCATTTGCTTAGCACTTATAAACAAATTTTTGTTTATTAGTTTATAACGTTTGTTTTTACTCAACAACAATCATCATTTGTTATGAAATATCGTATGTGTCGAAAAGTATATCCTTTTACTTCGTTGTAACCTGATGATCGCAACGATTTAATAATAAGTAAAGAACATGTAAAAAAAAATACATTTTCAAGAAACCTGACGTGATTGTTTTCATAATTGTATACACTACTGATGAATATAAAATAAAGAACTGATTTATTAAAAGAGCCGTTTAAACCTAGCAAGTGAGTACAGCTAACTCTTGAGCTATTCAGCCTATTATAATGTATGCATTAATATAATTCAATCAACGACTTAATAAACGGTTCTCTGTACGAACCGCTATTCAAAACTTTTTAATTATCTATTGAAAACATTATTACAATGATTATTATTATTTAAATTCGGTTATCAACTTTCAATTGTATATCGCAATAGTACTTTAGGTTACCGTTGTTTTGAAAATATTACTCATTATCTACGGTCGTCATACATGATATCAATAGTACCTATTTGCCTAATTGTAATTCATGACAACACATTTATCGTTTTTATAAAACCTGATGAAAAATTATACAATCCTTTTTGAAATAGATAATGTATTACATACAAATATTATGTGTTGTTATATGCGCAAGTGGATGTCTGGCACATAACAATAATAATAGATATTTGGTCAACATTTGTTTCCAAATTTTTATTAATTTTTTTCAATGCTTAAAAAAATGTTTTTGTTATTCATTATTATTTTTAGTTTTTCCTAATAATTTACTACTACCGCGCCCAACGTCTGTGCTGTATACACCAGACGTTATACGACCGTTCGTTGGTCAGCCACTGGAGAACCGGTTTCTTTTTCTTCTCTATGATAACGTCCTTTTCTCGACACATACCAAAGTTGAAAAGTCATCGACGTAGGCGTAATTTACATTTTTATAGAGTCGCTCATATCAAAACTAGTCTTTAAACTCGTAACAATATCATTTTTTAGGTGTTATTCATTTTGTAATTAGTCAACTGGCTAGAGATAAGCCATGAAAAGTATAAAATGTGAACGTCTTATGTTGTTTTTAGAAAAACCTGGATGTAGTTAAATATTTGTATACATTCGTGAACGATGACAAATATTACTTGAATAATTTTGCGTTGTGAATCTTTTTCATGCGATTTTAGAAGTTCTGAAGGTGTTGTACCTGTTGACTGATAAGTTATTTACTGGTTTAAAACGTATTTCTATTTTACCGAAATTATTTCATTATATTTTATTTGTTTTGATACATATTATAAATATTAAATTGTTATTTTCATACTCATAAGCATTAATGGAGAGGATTCAGTCATTATAGAAAATTATAGTATTTTTTTATATTATAAAAAAGTTTATATTTATATGATAAAAATTTAGAATAGGGAAAATATCAATTTAGATACTTGTAGTACTTAATTGTGTATTAGTATTTTGAAGTAACGAAAAATTTGCAATAATCTAAAGCATATGGTCAATCTAGTGGATTAAAAAGGAGACCTAGTCTCCCTAATCTGTCACAACTCCCAAAATTATGAACATTACATATTAGTTTATGTAGAATTATTTTTAAAGAAAGGAGAGATTAAGTTAAATTAAGTCCTCGAATATTTTGTTAAAATTGGAATTATGCTCATAAAATCATGATTTATTAATTGTTTTTTTTTTATTACAGTGTTATAATTTAATTTCATTGAAAATAAATAGCACATGATTCTAAAAAATATGCTAAACTATAAAGAAAAATTTTGATAATTAAAAAAAATGTACTGTTTGCTCATATTTTATTTGGTCTTCACCGGAAAGTTTCTATACCAGACTATGAATGCCTAATTTTACCTACTGGGCCGTCATTACAATTTGCGGGACCTAGAACATAACTTTTTTAGTGTGGCGTACAAAAAAAAAAATGTGATGCTTTGCGTACAAAGACATTTTACCAGTACCTCATCTAACATATATATATATTATTAATTCACAATAAAATGCTTTCTGCGAAAGCATATATTATATATATGTAAGCCTTTATGTTTTATAAAATCCGTAAAGCTTCTCTTGCAATAATGAATTTTTATAAATTTTTCGCTAACAAGTTACTCATTATAGTTAACGCTCGAAAAATATATGAAAATGGTAAATGTCTGAAAATGGTTATAGTTTGAGCAGCTGTTTTTGTTGTAACACTATAATGAGTTACAAATCATCCAATTTGACAGTGATCGACCTAATTGATTTGTTCATTGTCTCGTAAATCCTTTTTAAGACTTATTGTAAAATTAATAATCGATAATGAATTATTACTTAGCGATTGTTTTTTTTTTTTGTCTAAATCCTTGATTTTGATACAGTACAAACAGATGGCCTCTGATACAATCAATGATTCATCATTATGTTTATTCTATATAAGGCCGTGTCGTTTTATCAAATGAGATACCGTATAAGGCCAATGTGGGTCGATCAGATTTTGTCCGTTTGCGCAGGCTATCTAGTTACTGCATACTGTTCAGTAAATGGGTCAATGGGTAAAGTTTTATCTTTTTTGTGTGAAAATAAAAGTGCTTGATATAAATCGTTTAACGGTTGGTGGATTCTAGTTAGGACCAAAAAAGGAACACTTTATTGATTTAAGTTATGTTTAATAACTGTCCGCATAGACATTAATCATTAAACCAGTAATAACACACTGTCAGCTCAAATGTGATACACTTATTAAGAGTACTAATTATCCTGTCTGTTTATTTATATGTATTATTATACGAAAATATAAAAAACATTGTTATTGTATAACATTTATAGTGATTTTGTGGTTTTTATTAATGTGATTATTCAGATATTAGTTAGAGTAGTAGCAATTTTAATAAAATAATTATAATATATTTTTCCTACTCCTATTGACTACACAAATTCATACACTAAAACATACATTATTATCTAGTAATAAGGAGATGCCATTTCATTTAAAAACCATCAATTTACAAAAGAAAAAAGAAACGTTCATTTTTTTTTAAATTGTATAGTAGTGGCTTCTTTAAATTTAAATTTATATAACATTGTAAAACTTTTTTATGAATAAACTAATTTGCAATACCATGTTTAATAACAAATTCAGTAACGGCACGTTTCATTGTAGTTGTTTGTCATGTTAAGTAGTACCAATTGCTTTCTTAATTATATTATACTATTGTTGAAAATAAAATTCTTTTATGTATCTTGGCAACGAATTTTAATTATTTATAAGATCTATTCATTTATTAAAATTTGCTGTTACTTTTGTAGGTGTATTTACTTATTTTATTGTTAAAATTCCCTTTGAAAATTATTGTTACAGCATTATTCTATCTATTGAATATTATTTTTTTTTACAAATAAAGCAGTTAAACTACATGCTCCTTTAATAAAATATGAGAACTGGGATGCGTACAATTTATATACAAACGATGTTTCATGGTCAATATTTTGTAATTGTATTTTAATTATGAATATTTTTTTTCCATAATACATGATTATTAAAAATTATTATTATTATATATATATATTTATACATTTGATGAGAAATGCTTAGCGATAAAATTAATCATGAGGATTTTCAAGAAAAATTTGCCATTAATTATTTATGCAAATTTAAATCGTACATTCATTTTTAATAAATAACATTTTTCGGTATAAATAAAAATTTCTGAACCGATATAATCCCAAACTTTCTTCTCAATTACACGCGAAAGTTTTATAAAACAATTTTATTATTACAAATGTCAAAAGATACATATACACACAAGTTATTACGTTGTGTAGTTTAGTGATGATGTCAGCGGCTAATTATTCCACGTTCAGCACATTCTGTTGAAAAAGTATTGGCCACTTGACTATTGAAATATTTTTCATTGGTTTAGAATACGTAAAGCAAGACTTCCTAATCGCAAATAACATTACTAACGATAATTAATATTTTGAGATTATTTTTTCATTACGTTGTAAACAAGGCATAATGCGATACCTAGAGGAAATGTATTATCGAGAAAATTATTTGTTCTTAACACTTTATAGCTTGAAAAGCATGAGTAAGTAATGAGTACTAAAATAAAATAAAAATTATTCAGTATTATTAGTTTGAATTTACCTATTTCATAATAAATGACATAACTGTTCAATAATATGTTAAATTCGTTTTAAAAAGTTTACAACTAAATTTTAGTTGTATTAGTTAACAATATTGTTATCAAATGTTTATCAAACTAATTTCAAATGTTATGGGGTTTTGACATCCAAAATTTTTTTTACGGTAACTCGTCACTAGGTATCGCTAAAGCGTCTGAAAAATTGAAGTCACACTTATTTTGTTAAAAAATAATTTTATGGTTTATCATTGACTCGCAAAATGACGAGTAATAACTACTACACGTATAACTAAAATAACTATTAGTAATAAAAACGAGGAAAGATATTACACACACGCGTACTAAATTCGTGCTTGCGGTAAAAAGTTTTTGAATGAATGTTTTATCTTCTATAATATAAAATTGAATAGTGTTTCCATTAGTAAATATTTCTTAAAAAAACTATGCTATTATCGTGGAAGGTTAAGATTATAGGGTTCGACTTGCGAATGAAGACAATGACATTTCTTGAATAAATAATAAAGACGTTTGTATTAATAATATATCAAGACTATTTTGAGTCTTAGTATAGTAATATGTGTTTTCATTTTTTAAGTCTATCGCTTTTGACGATATAAATATATAAAAATATAAAGATAATATGTATAACTGATTAAATTTACTTCTAAAAAACATTCAAGATTACCCTTTACGAGATAAAGAGATGGTTAAACTAATTTATAAAATTATTTTAAGCACAACGTAATTGAAAATAAAATATTAATGAGTTTCATTTTTAATCAATAATTTCATTATAATAATTTGACTTTTTTATTTTAGAATGTTACTTATTCGAAATTGTTCGAAATAATTTATTATTTTTAAAATATTTATAAGCACCATCTAATAAATATTTACAAGTTACTATTATTCACTATTTGCTTTATAATAACAAGTAAATTTTACCTGTTGAGTTATTTTTAGGAATTCAATTAATTTTTTTAGTTGGTTGATAATAATTAAAGTGAACTTGTTTCAATCAACGTAATATCATATATTTTATTGAAACAAATTTATGGGTTTAATAGGTATAAAATTACGGGGTTTGAATTCTTAAGCGTAATTTGATTAAATTAAGATAAAATCTTCCACTTGTTAAGCATGGAAAAATATGTATATATATGAAAATTGACACGCAATTATGAGAACAATGAGAAACTCACGACTGTGAAATTAGAAGCATTTAAGATAATATGTATTAAATATTTGAAGTTTTCGTTATTGTTTTTATTCAATACTTTTGCCTAAAAATAAAAAACTTTATTTCCTTACAGATCAACAGCAAGTACAGCGAAGAACTTGCCCAAGAGTGTTTAGAATGGATAAGCAGCGTCACTGGATTACCATTGAACACATCTGGTGACCCAGACAACTTTTACGAAGTACTTAAGGACGGACAAGTATTGTGCCAGTGAGTCATCAAACACTTCATAAATGAAAAATTACTTTCAAATATGACGCGTCCTTGAAATAATAATAACCATTTATTTTTTAACGAATCGTCTTATTTCAAATTAAAGACATCACTGATGAGGACTTTGTTTAAGCCAATGCTATGTTTTTTTTTTATTATTTTACCTGTTATGGAAGGCAAAATTAACAAAATTATTATAAATTAATTAGTATTAATTCATCTCTTAGTATATAATATTTATGGGTAACTCGGAATTAAAACATATTTTTACACGGCAATATAAATTAGATTAATGATAAACAATAGCTACGAGAGAATTAATTTGCAGGTCAATTTTACCCGTCGTAAATTTAATATGAGTTTTATTTTAGTTCACCATAAGATTAACCATATTTTATATCCAATTCTTTCATCACTTCATTTTGACATTACTATATTAGTATTAAAAGATCCTCCAAAATTTCATAATTAGTTGCTCTCTTAATTTATTCAATGGTTTGTGAGCCAACATTTTCATATTATGTATTAATTTATATATAAATGACTTTTTTATTACATTGTATGTGTTATTAATACAGTATCTCTAGTTATCTTACTGAAGTTAATTACCTTATAAGATGGACACACCAAAATTTTCTCGGTAACTAATTGAAAAAATGTCGTTTATACTGCTGATTTAACAGTACCTTTATATATTTATTGAGAATACATATAATAAAAATCGTAAAAGTGATAAGTACTAATAGTATTAAATGGGGAACACACGGTAAGATGAAGTTAAGTCATAAAATGATGTAAATCAGAAGAAAATCTATATAATATATGATAGATGTAATAAATACATATTCAATATTAAACGTGTAAATTTATCGTGACTTTTATTTATACAATAAGTTGTATTTTTGCAAACAAATTTTAAATTGTTCTATATTTCATGCCATAATTAACAGTTGGCCAAATTACACAGTTTTTTCAAAATATAAGTTTTTTTTATTGTATTGTTAATTATTGTTAACAGATTAGCTAACACTTTGGTTCCAAACTCAATAAAAAAAGTCAACAACAGCACAATGGCTTTTAAATGTATGGAAAACCTAAACAATTTTTTGGCCGTAGCAGTTTCTATAGGTGTTCCTACCCAAGAAACATTCCAGACTGTAGACTTATGGGAACGCCAAAATTTAAATTCTGTTGTTATTTGTCTGCAATCGTTAGGCAGAAAGGTAAACATACTTATTAAATTTATTCGCATGTAATTCTATAATAAACATTTTTCTTCGTCCTTTATATTAATTTAACAATTGATAAATCAACTTTTATACATTTTTTTAGGGTGCTCAGTTTGGTGCTCCTAGCATCGGACCAAAAGAGGCTGAGAAAAATGTTCGTAACTTTAGTGAAGACAAACTTAAAGCAGGACAGACAATAATTAGTTTGCAATATGGATCTAATAAAGGAGCAACACAGAGTGGTATCAATTTTGGCAACACCAGACACATGTAATAAATTATTCCTTACAATCATTTCAACAATTGTACAAGTTATGTGAAAATTTATCCATTACTATTACATTCCGTTTACTTTAAATTATTTACAAGTATATACCTACGCTTTTATTTGCAGTATTATAAGTTTGTTATGTTTGTATAATATATAAAACTATATAGTATATGATTAATTTCAAACATATGTGATAATAACAAAACATTTATGTTCTAATTATTACCAGTTGTCTATTATTTAGAAAAAAAACATTTAATTAACATGTTCTTCTTTATTTTTTGGTACATAGTTGAAATATTTATTTTGTTTAATTAAATTATTTATGCATAATATAAGGTGTTTTATATTAAATTATATATTTTATTAAAATTTTTATTTATGTAACACTATTATTCAAATTATTTAGTTAGAGTAACAAAGAATTTAAATTACAATTAATTTAATTTAATTTGTGTTTTTGATTTTTTACATATTATTTTGTTGTATAAATAGGATTAATTTTTGCTACGTTACAAATATTTTAATACGAATGAGTAATTAATTTATTTCTGTAGAGAACAATAATTCCAGCAAGAATTTAATAAGATTTCTTTAAGGTTAGATTAAAATACATTAAATCAGCGTACTTAGAAAATTTCCATTTACAATTAATACCCAAAATATTTTTTTATGTGCAGAGTAAAGTTAAGGCTTTAAGTAAACTAGTGGTAAATAGAGATGTTAAGTTCGTGAACGAATAGTTCATTTGAACTATTCACTTAGATGAACTATTCTGAACTGTTTCAGTACCTGTAACTTAACAGTTCACAGTTCGAAAAAAATTGGTAGCAATGTATAAATGAAATAGTTCGCGAACTTCTTTAAAAATTCTTTGTGGTTCGTTGTTCGAAATACTGTAAATGGTTAATAGCTGTTTACAATTAGATAACAAATAAATTATATTGTTAAAATGTTACACGGTTTTTAACTGTTTAACAATAAAATAAATTCATACTATGTACAAATATTAGATCAGATTTCTGATTTAACTTAAGACTACTGGTCAGTATATCTACCTTGAATTAGGTGATAATGATAACATGAGCCATGAGGGTATTAATAATAATTTTTTCTTAGTTTATGATGTTCAGGTTAAGGGTTAGTTTGTAACTTAATTGCCCATAAGTAGTGTGAACTACAACTGAACTGTGTACTGCTATACTAATAGTGATAAAATGAATAGTTCATTGCCAAACAATATCAGCATGATCAATAAAATTAGTGAACTTAAGAATAGTTCATTTGAACTATTCACTTGAATGAACTATGAACTAATGAACTATTCACAGAAATGAACTAAACTTTCCATCTCTAGTGGTAAAATGTCAAATGTTCTAACCTACTCAAAAAGCTTTATCACTATTGTCTGTTATCATAATATAATGAACATATTGTATCTATATCTATGATATAATCGAAGTTAATTGAAGTTACTTTGATTTTAACGACTATTACTATAAAATATCATTAATTAATGATGTTTTATAATAATGATCATAGAAGTGTGATGGTGTCACGTTTTCATAATCGTGAGAATTATTTTAATAAAATACAGACAGCACATCCGCTGCCTGAGACTGATGAATTAACAAATAATATTTATTGCCAAATCGGCAATAAGTGTAATTATTATAAAAACCCAATAGACCTGACCATCGTGGTCAGTCGACTCCAGTGCCTTGTGTCATTCATCAGTCTCAGTACTCGGTTGTCGCTGTCCGGCTTACTGTTTAAAGTAAAGTCTTTGTTTATTCCTTTTCTAACCTATATACTCTTTTCCTCGACATTTTAGAGTACTTGTGTCTTGCACTTCGTCTGCACCTCGTACTCTGTTATCTTTCCTCACCTGGTACGCCCAGTATTTGTGTCTTGCACTTCGTCTGCACCTTATACTCGGCTACCCCGTACTTCATTATCCTATCCTAATAACTAAAGTACTTGTGTCTTGCACCTCGTCTGCACCTCGTACTTTGTTATACTCCTTATCTGGTACGCCCAGTATTTGTGTCTTGCACTTCGTCTGCACCTTATACTCGGCTACCCCGTTCTCTCTCTGAAGTACTTGTGTCTTGCACTTCGTCTGCACCTCGTACTTCATTATCCTCTCCTAATAACTAAAGTACTTGTGTCTTGCACTTCGTCTGCACCTCGTACTTTGTTATACTCCTTATCTGGTACGCCCAGTATTTGTGTCTTGCACTTCGTCTGCACCTTATACTCGGCTACCCCGTTCTCTCTCTGAAGTACTTGTGTCTTGCACTTCGTCTGCACCTCGTACTTCATTATCCTCTCCTAATAACTAAAGTACTTGTGTCTTGCACTTCGTCTGCACCTCGTACTTTGTTATACTCCTTATCTGGTACGCCCAGTATTTGTGTCTTGCACTTCGTCTGCACCTTATACTCGGCTACCCCGTTCTCTCTCTGAAGTACTTGTGTCTTGCACTTCGTCTGCACCTCGTACTTCATTATCCTCTCCTAATAACTAAAGTACTTGTGTCTTGCACTTCGTCTGCACCTCGTACTTTGTTATACTCCTTATCTGGTACGCCCAGTATTTGTGTCTTGCACTTCGTCTGCACCTTATACTCGGCTACCCCGTTCTCTCTCTGAAGTACTTGTGTCTTGCACTTCGTCTGCACCTCGTACTTCATTATCCTCTCCTAATAACTAAAGTACTTGTGTCTTGCACTTCGTCTGCACCTCGTACTTTGTTATACTCCTTATCTGGTACGCCCAGTATTTGTGTCTTGCACTTCGTCTGCACCTTATACTCGGCTACCCCGTTCTCTCTTTGGAGTACTTGTGTCTTGCACTTCGTCTGCACCTCGTACTTCATTGTCCTCTCCTATACCCCAAGTATTTGTGTCTTGCACTTCGTCTGCACCTCATACTTTGGGCTCCTTTTGCGTACACCTGGTATTTGTGTCTTGCACTTCGTCTGCACCTCATACCTAGGTGTTACTCTTATTCTCCCTTCCTATAACAACAGCCTTTCGACACCCACAGCTAACCCGGAGTGTCAGCCGAGCACGGTGACTGCTGCAGGACAACACGCACGTGAATACCTAGACAGCAGGCACCACCTCCTCATATTCATCTTCGTACACACAGTTACACATTTACACACATTTTACCTAATATCATTTTACTTTTCTTTCCTGTGTTACGACAGAGTGGCGCCCAACAAAGGTAACGTATATATTACGTTAGGGTTGTTGTTATAGTATAAGAAAAAAGTATTATTAAACCAACTTATCCAACACTTGATGGCCAAAGAAGAATACACAAAATCACTCATAGAGCTTAATCCAACACCGTCAGAAGAAAACGAACGTCCATCTTACAAAACAGGTTGGGCACACAAGCTAAATTCTAACGAAGCCATATCTGAGTTAATCAAGAGAAAACTAACCACTGCCGGCACTCTAGATCAAAAGAGAGACCGCTTGGTTAGGTACATCAAAGGTCAGATTCCGGAAGATTTCGTTGTAGATCTTAACGAATCTTTTACAGTACCACATACCAAAAACATGGCTAATAATGACAACAAGAACCGTAGAAAGCTGTGGCGGTCGAATGTTCTAGAATGTTCGGCCGCCGCCGCCTCTAGAAGATTCGTCGCTCTACATAAGCGTGTGGCGGTCGAATGTTCTAGAGAGTTCCGCCGCCGCCTCTAGAATATTCCTCTGACTATTTAAGGGCAAGATCGTCGCTCCAGTCAGTGAGTCGATCAGTCAATCACTTACGCATTCTGTCTTACACGCGCTTCGTCTCTCGCTGTTATTTATTAGTTCGTTGTAATACAGTTCGTCTCTCGCTGTTATTTGTTATTTGTTAGTTCGTTGTAATATAGTATAGTTGTTATTAAATCTTAAAAGTGTTTATTACTTCTATATATTACACCTCGCTACAAAGCCATTCTTTAAGCCAGGTCAGTTTAGAGGAGAAGTTCACGAAAGTGTAGACCTGTTTCTTAAGCAATACAAGAGGGCCAGCATTATAAATGAAAGGAACGACGAAGAAAAAGTTCAGTTTTTACCAGCTTTCTTAGAAGGTACGGCTTTACACTTCTATGAAAATCTAGAAGAAAACACCGTCGGCCAAATCAAGTGGGAAGATCTAGAGTATAAAATAAGGTTAGAATTTGAGCCAACAGCTCAAACAGACATGATAAGAATGATATTACAAAAACGCCATCAACAACCGGACGAATC